GAGAAATTATACTTCACACTGTAACACAACTGGTGAGGCAATAATGGACAGGTTCTACTGCACTGGGACATACAGAACAGCCTGTACCTCTTCCCTTCCCTCAGGGCCAGCTTTGTGGATGTGCAACCTATGCAGCACCCCTGGTCTCACGCCTACATGGTCCCTATGCTTGGTTTGGAGTTCTGCCATGGCTATCTTAAAATTCTTAATATCTTTTGGGAAAAGAGCCCTGCATTGCATTTTACACCGGGTCTGACACATTAAACAGTCAGTTCTGCCTTTCTGTTTGTATTGCATTTGCTAATGCTCTATATATTTTGATTTTTCTTCTTTAATAATGCTTCCTAAAACTGCCATTAAGAGTGTATTATATTTTACAGGCCTTTTTACTTATTTCACTTATTTCAAAAAGCGTTTCCTTAGAGCAATGCAAATGGGTTCAATATTATAATCACACTCATGTTATAGATGAACAACCTAGGGCTTAAAGAAATTAAGTGAATTGCCAAGTTTTTTATAGCTTATTATTTATAGCTTATTATTATAGTTTATTATAGCTTATTATTGTCCAAGAGAGCTAGGACAGAACTAGGTCTCCTGACTTCAGTGTCTCTCCTGCCCATCTGCTAGAATTGTGCTATATTCCTTTTTTTTTTTTTTTTAATTTTTTATTTCTAGGGGAGAGAGAGAGAGACAGTGTGAGCAGGGGAGGGTCAGAGAGAGAGGATGTCACAGACTGAAACAGGCTCCAGGCTCTGAGCTGGCAGTCAGCATAGAGCCCGACGCGGGGCTCGAACCCACGAACTGTGAGATCATGACCTAAGCAAAAGTCGGACGCTCAACCGACTAAGCCACCCAGGCGCCCCACTATATTCCATATTTTCAGGGTTCAAGTTGGATACTCTAATCTTACTAATTTCCCAGATTCCTACAGTTCCCCTTTTACTTTACTCTCTCAAGTAAAGAGAGAGTATCATGCTTCCACTTGACACTGTGTATCGCTGACTCATATTTAGTCTGGAGTTCCATTTGCTCCTCAGGTCATTTACCCATAATTGCCTAGTCCTTTCTTATCTAATAATTGAAGCTTATTTTTCTACCCTAAGTGATTTACCCTGAGCTTGCATTTTAAAAAAAAGTAATCTCAGGTTAATTTTGAGAGAATTCCAATTCTGATCTATAGCTAATCTCCAGATCATTAAGGATGTTCCAGTAATTGGAAAGAAATCGCCATGTTTTTTTTTTTTTCATTAAGTGCTCATCTAACTTGTGAAGGGAAGTTAAACTAACTTAAGCTGCTGAGACTTGCCTTATTCGACCAAAAAGAAATCCAAAGCAATCCTATGAAAATGTAGCTTCATTTGCAATTATATTAGTCAGGGGAAGGGAAATGGAGAGTATAATATAACAAGGTTATAATGACTATCTTAATGTGGCAAGGTTGATAGTGGCATGAAGCCTCAACATTGGCGTTACCTCTGCACACTCCACAGACTGATCTCTTAGCATGTGGGCTGTCTTGCCGGAGTAAAACTGTGCAGTTGGTGTCTTTGTCTTCTGGTGACAACTCTGACTCAGTCTCTGCTTCCTGAAGAGTCCAAGCTAAAATATGTATTTTCATATGCAGTGCTTACCACCTGAGGTAGTCTGCTAGCATTATTAACTAATTCCTGGAGGATAAAAATAAAAGGACTTGATTGAGCTTATTTAATTGTTCTTACATCTGTAACACTGCCAGCTAAGGAATACTACCAGTGTAAGCAAGTGCCACTGACCTAGAAATAAACTGAACTGGTAACTTCCATACTAGTCAATGACACTAATCTTCCCCAGTGAAGAGTTCAAAACATGGGCTCTCTCCTTGTTCACTCCATTTACTTTACCCCCGCATCCAATCAAACAACTAACCTGTGGCTTTTATCTCCAAATACACCTCGAAAGACTCCTGCTCTCCATTTCCACAGCTACACCTACCAATACACACTCTACTCATATGCCATATACTACACTATCCACTAAAATTCATCAGCACTGCTTCTCACCTGGTCTCTGCAATAGACTCTTAACTGGTCTCCCTTGGGATCTTTATAAGTCATGCTCCACATAGCCATGAGATTGGGTTTCTAAGAAGGAAAATCAGATCATGTCACTCCTCTGATTACAGCTCCATCTTAATTCTGCATCCTTTTAGTCTGTTCTTCTTTTAAAAATAGCTCTTAAGGGGCACCTGGGTGGCTCAGTTGGTTAAGCGTCCAACTTTGGCTCAGGTCATGATCTCACAGTTCGTGGGTTCGAGCCCCACATCAGGCTCTGTGCTGACGGCCAGCTCAGAGCCTGGAGCCTGCTTTGGATTCTGCATCTCCCTCCCTCTGTGCCCCTCCCCCACTTGTGCTCTGTCTCTCTCTGTCTCAAAAATATATACACTATAAAAAATTAAAAAATAAATAAATAAAAATAGCTCTTAATACCATCTATATACTCCCCCTTCCTTATTTTATGTTGTTCTCTTCTTTCTCTCAACCCCAACTTAGAATAAAAACAAGGGGCCTCCCGTTTTGGTCATCTCCCTATGCTTTCAAGAGTGTTAGCACCCAGTAGGCACTCACAAATGATTCACTGAATAAATGGACCTTTAAGCCAGGGCTGAAATACAGCCCATCTCTCTGTTAGACCATTTTCTTCAATACCCCAGTGCTGACTCTGAGCCTTGGCAAACACTGGCCCCCGTAGTGTTGGCCTTCAGGACTGGCACCTCCTCTGCTTATCCCTTTGGCTTGGATATAGCCAGAGACCTCACTTTGATTAGAGCCTGGCTTCCCATCTTTCCCATGTGCCTCTTCTGCAATGTATCTTCAGGTCTACAATTCTAGGAGGAATTATCCCTCCTATCTGATTTCAGCCTCTGACTAGTCATGTCCTCCTGTCTTTCCTTTCCCTATTTCCAGGGTTGACTAGGTTGCTATTCCCAGCTTCCACTGTTCTAGCTACCCTCCCTGAGCCAACGGGTACTTGCAAGTCATCACCTATCCTTTAAACTCTGCAGGGTTCAGTGGATCCCAGGTGGAAAGTGCTTGGAGCGACTAAGCCAGATGAGTGTTTCTGTCTGATCACATAACATATGCAGGATAAATGTTTCCTCCAAGCTGAGATTTGCAAGTCCTCACTGCTTAAAAATAAGCACTTGTTTTTATAAAAATAGTTTGCATATTTGTGCTCGCTGAGTCCACCTATGAATCTATGATGAGAATACCATCGCTTGGCCCCGGGAGAAAAATTGAGCTGTATTTGAATTATTCCCAACTGTTCTCTGATCTTAAAACTTAGCAGTTCACTTACAAGTCAAAAAAGATTGCAAGAAGCAGCTGGCAAAACAATCGTAATGGCAGAGATGGGATGTTGAGCACAACTTTGGCTGGCATTTTCAGGAGTTTTAAATGCTTGGCTGCAACTGTCACTTGCATAAGGATTTCATGAAGATTAATAATGTAAGAAAAAGGCCATATTTCAAGTAACTGAACACGGTAACTGTTAGGACTTTTTCTGGCAAAATAGAGAAGAAATCTGTCTCCTTGTATGTCTATACCTATTTTTATCCTGTTTTTCTTCTTTAAAATCTGTATGCTGTTGTCAAGAATATCTCAATAAATTTGCATTTCTATTACTATTATAGCACGGTAATAATAATATATAATAATGGATACATGTATGCATACATGCAGATACATATACATGTATGTTTGTACATATGTATAATATTTCCTAGGGTTATTTGATGATAGGAAATAATGTGACTAAATGAAGTGGACTAGCAAATGTACTACAGGAGGTACACAATAAATATTAGCCATTGTTATTATTTATTATTATTTCTATAAATTATGAATACATGAGAATAGACAAGGAAAATCAACTTCCAGCATGACAGTGTGGGGGGCTCCACTGTCCTGCTCCCCAGTGAAACTGGTAAAAACTATAAAAAGTCAACTATTTAAAAGCCTCTGGAAAATGGTCCTAAGGGCAAAAAGCAAAGAAGCATCAAATCAAAAGAATCTTTAAAAAGTCAGTAAGAGAGTAATAGTCTGTAGTATTTGAATCCACAAATTCCTCCCAGCTTAGCAAGGCAAATATTCCACCCCAGGAATCTATAGCCAAGAACACAGGACTCCCACTCTGCTTGCACAGAGACAGAGGGCGTTCTTAGGGTGAGGAGGGTGTCAGTATTCTCAGCCTGCCCAAGCTGAGGCTAATTTCCAGGTGAATGTGGTTTAAAAGGTTAGGGTTCCCTTCTGAGTATAAATCCTAAGCTGATTCAGATCAGTTAAGAAATATGCAGTAAACCATGGGGCACCTAGGTGGCTCAGTCGGTGCTGTGAGCCCCGTGTTGGGATCTGTGCTGACAGCTGAGAGCCTGGAGCCTGCTTCAGATTCTGTGTCTCCCTCTATTTCTGCTCCTCACAGGCTCACACTCTGTTTCTCTCTCTCAAAAATAAATGAAAAAAAAAAAAACCCCACAAAAAATTTAAAAAGAAGTATATGGTAAACTCTAGAAGAATCTTTAAAAAATGACTCCAAAGGAAAAAAAAATAAATTACAATGTTGCATTAGAAAATATTCACTTAGTGTAAACAAAAGCAATAAAAGAGAAACAGGATAAAAAAGACATGACATACAGAACAGAAAAGGTAAAATTGCAGACATAAATTGAATTACAGTTGATTCTCATTCTCTGTGATAGTTATGCCCAAGAAAATGAATGTTAACTCTATTGCTAACTCTAAACAGAAAACCCACTGCCAAGAACAACTGAAGTTTCCAAGGGAAAGAAAGTATGTGAAGAGAGCAAGCCTGGATGGTCTATCTTACATCCTTGCTACTAAAGGTGTCATCCACAGAGTAGCAGCACCTGGGAGTGTGTTCGAAATGCAGAATTCCAGGTCCCCATTCTGGAACTACTGAGTCAGAATATGCCTTTTAACAAGATCTCCAGGGCAACGGTTCCTGTGACATTCAAGAAAGCCCTGGAGGATGTACAGCTAGGTTGACTCATGCTTGAGGAAGTCTGCATGGGGAGGGGTGGAAAGGAGGACAATTCCAAGATCCCCTAAGAAGGAATAAATGTTATAGCTCTGGCAAAGGTTTCAGTCTGCAGGTGGGTATTTTCTTGAGGAGTCACGTGGCCAGACATCAGTGATTTGGTAGAAAGATTTTGCTGAGATCCTATTCTAGCACAACCTTGTTTCATGTTATTTGAACATATTTAGTTAAGTCAGTATTTAGTGTTACTTGTTTTTTTACTTTTTTGCCTGAAATCTCTCATTTTTTATGGCAATAGGAGAGAGAGAGAAGGCTGAACTCTGCATCCTAAAGGCTAAGCTGTTTCCTAGCTCTTTCTGTCCTACTCTGTGCTTCTGTATGGAATACCAACATTTCCTCTTTCTCACATCCATGGCCATTGCAAGCATCAATGAAACAATGTTTATGAAAATGCTTTGAAAACTGTAACTGTTGCTAATTATTTCTAAGCCCATAATTTCCTTTTCTTCCATCCTAATGACTGGGGATAAGATAACATTCATGGTCTTCCCTTCCTAAAGAGCTCTTCCCATATATGCCTCTATGTGCATTATGTGTGTCCGTTCACCTGAGCAAAGTAAAATACTGAAGCTCACAGTATGATTATAGATTAGTAGCAGCAGCAGCTACTGTTTATTCCCACTTCCTCCAACTTCACATTAAGCATTTCCATCTTACCACAGTCGTGATAATGTTTCCCAAACATTACTGTCTGCAGTTACAATCCTTTGCGTTTTACTCTTGCTTCCAGATCGCTGTGTCTCTGTTCCAGTCTGGAACGCACACTGGGGACTATTTCATTTGTGGCGTCTTCCTGTTCAAGCCTTTGGATGGTTTCTTTTTCACACCACACAGAGCTAATTTTGTCATTAACATTTCAGGAAACACACAGTGGCATTTTAAGTGAAATACAAATGAGAAAACTCTGCTGTTCATAGTTACTCTTTTCTCCCAAATTTGAAAAGAAATCACTATCAAATTACCCGAGTCGTATTTATCTTTTTTAAACTGTCTCGGTTGCTGTCATTATTCTGCCAAACTCTCTATTCCTAGGCCCTTAGATAGAAATTATGCCCCTTTTGGAGCTACAGTGGGGGGAAAACTGAAGCATGATGTATTTAGAGAAAAAAATTCCATGAGGCACAAAGAGAATTACCTCCCTTAGCACATGGGAGGTGCACTTGGCACATGGTCCTGCCGTGTTGGCGCTAGTAGACGTGAATGTGTGAATCCATGTTGCATCGAAACAATTTCTGGATCATAGTAATCAGTCAATAGTAGTTGATTGGCCAACTGATTGATGCAGAAACCCTTCATTTAACTGGAATTATAGATGAAGATTATGCTCTTAATTTTTAAAAGCTAACATTTTATTGATTTTTTTTTTTTACTCTGTGCCAAGCACTCTGGTAAGTACATGAAATGCATTCTCATTCACTTCTTTCCCTGCTCAACAGTCCCATGAGGTAGTGACCATGTCTATGGAAATGGAGCACATTGGAATATGTGAAGAAGTAATTAAGCTTCCACACTGAGTATTAAATCCATTAAGTATTAATTAATTTAGTCTTAATTAATTAATGGAATACATGGGAACATATGTTTTATTTCATTGGGCAAACCTTCCCAGCATTAAAATTAGCCAGCAATTATTAAGCATTTATAGTGTGCCAGGCACTATGATGATTTACATAATTATTTCATTTACTTCTAATAATTGTCTTATGTGGGAGATATATTATTAATATCCTCGTTTCATGGAAGAGAAAGCTGAAGTTAAAAATGTTGAAGTGACAAACCTAAGATTAGAAAAATAATAATGGGGCCAAGCTTGGTAATCAGGATTGAATGCTAAGCCCACTTGGTAGGAGACTTCAAGTCCATTGTATAGCTCACCAGTGACTCAACAACACTGGCAAAAGTCACCCTCTCCTTGCCCGCGATCTCCTTTGAATTCACTTGCCTTCCTGGATGAGGAAAGAGCCAGGGAGTGGTCACCAGATCTGTGGCCTGTAGGACAATGGAGCAAATGTCTTCTAGGGAAAATTATTTTACACACAGCTTTGTATCCTGTTTTATTTTTCACTTAACATTATAAGGTGAATTTTTCTAGTGTTATTAAAAAGCCTTAATAAACATAATTTTCAATGGTTGCTTGCATTTTTAAATCAGGTGATTGTAATTTAATTATCCATCTCCTTATTATGACTATTATTTCTGTTTTCTGTTATGTTACATAATGCTGGAAGAAGCACCTCTTTACACAGAACTCCCTCCACACCTCTGATTTATGTATAATGCCCAAAAGGAAGATACCTAGAAGTGAGTTTTAGGGCTTGGATATTTTAAGTCTCTTGATGCACATTGGCAAATTGCCTTCTAAAAAGTGCTGTTCCACTTTATACCAGCCTCAGCAAGCTCACTATATCCTCATTTCAGGTACAGAATTAAAATAAGAGAAACCTTTGCTAATTTTATGGGTGAAAAACTCCATCACATTATTATAATTCCTATTTGGTTAATTGTAAGGTGAAATATTTTTCCAATATTTACCAGCCACTGACTATCTTTATTTGACCATTTTCAGTACCTATTTTTGTGGTGGTGAGATTTTACTGCTTTGTTTGTATTCCTTATCAGGGAATTCAAACTTTTGCCATATTTACTGTAAATATTTGTCTAGGTGTTGCCTCCTGCCCGGAGTGGAAACAGAAGGAAATACATTGCTGAAAGCAAGGGAGCAGAAGTGGCCTTCAACAAAGGAGTGATGGCAGTTTCCAATGCTACAAAGAGAGCCAGCAAGATAAGATTTAGGGGGTATCCACTTTTAGCTCCACACTGAATGATAATAAAGCTTATATTTTGCTGTAGACCAGGTGGGCAATAACTCACTGTTGTTCATTGAAAGAAAAGTGGTGTATTGCTTAGAGAAACCTAATCTGTCTGGTAGTAGTTAACAAATAAATAAGAGTGTCAAATATGCAATAGCACCTGGCAAGAACTTAGTCCCTGCCTACACCCACCTTCTTACAGAATAGGAGACTGAGGTTCTGGAGAGATGTGTTTGGCTTTGATCCAAATAACATAGACTATCACCAGGTTTTCAGTTTCAAGTCTTTGCAAATATACCATGCTCACTCACTCTCTTGCTCAAACCAGTTCACATGGAAATATTTTTCTGATTAAAATAACAACCATAGTAATAATAAAATATTTAACCTGGTGTATTTTAGTCGGAGTTCTTAAGAGAAATAGAACTGGGGCACCTGGGTGGTTCAGTGGGCTGAGCATCTGACTTTGGCTCAGGTCATGGTCTCACAGTTTGTGAGTTTGAGCCTGGCATCGGGTTCTGTGCTCACAGCTCAGATCTTGGAGCCTGCTTCATGTTCTATGTCTCCCTTTCTCTCTGCCCCTTCCCCACTCATGCTGTCTCTTTCTCACAAATAAACGTTTAAAAAACGTTTAAACGTTTAAAAATTTTTTTAAAAACTAAAAAAAAAATTAAGAAATAGAACAGAATGTGTGTGTGTATGTGTGTGTGTATGTATGTGGGTGAGTGAGTGAGAGAGAGAGGGAGGGGGAGAGAGAGAGAGAGAGAGAGAGAGAGAGAGAGAGAGAGAGAGAGAAAGGGAGAGAGATTGAAATTTATTTTAAGGAATTGTCTTACACAATCAATCATGGAGGCTTGGTAGGTCTAATGTTTGTAGGTTAGGCAGCAGGCAAGACACCCAAGGAAGAAGTGCAGGCTGAGTTCCCAAACTGCCTGCAGGAAGAATTCCTTCTTGCTCAGGGGAGGTCAATCTTTGTTTTATTATGTCCTCCAACTGATTGCACAAAGCGGAGCCTCACATTCTGCAGGGTAATTGCTCTACTCAAAGTCCACCAATTCCAATGTTAATCACAATCCCTGAAACTTTTATGGAAATAACCCTAATAAAAAAGCTAGGCACCAACAAAAAATTAAGCATCACACCTGGTGAGAAGGGTAACCAGAATGTAACTAACCTTAAGATTTTTGGTAGTTGAGGTTTATTTTCAATGGGATATATCTCATTAAGACATATAACAGTTTTCTCACTTGTTCCCATTCCACTTAGAAAAAATATTTCAAGTTGCTATCATTCTTCTGTACTTTCTGATCTTGTCTGTGACCAAGCTAGACTGTGTAGAAGAAGGGGGATGTTTTTTTGCACTGAGTTCCTAAGAAGTTAGCTTCTGTAGAGATGTAATGATGTTACTGTTCTCTATTCCCCTGGGCCTTTTGTACCTTTTCATTTTGAGTTCAGCAGCCACAATGAAGTTAAGATGATGGATGTGAAATGGACATTTTCTGGTTCAGATACAATTATATCCTTTTCAGTGGCTTATTTTTTAATTTTAGTAAATATTCATTCAGCAGCCTCAGGTAGTAGAACTAATGATTACAATTTTGCCTCAAACAAAGAAGGAGACAAATACTGTAATTATATAAAGTACAAATCAAATCACCTAATTAAATAGAGAAAGAAAATCTGCAATAATTACCGGGTATAGGCCAATTAACAATGCACTGAAAAAGGACCCATAATTTTAAGAAATACACCGATGCCTGATTTATCAAAAGGCAAATGCAAAAAACAAGTGCATTTTCACTTAAAATAATACAAGTTTCTTGTATAATAAATTAACTCAAATGACCCCTCAGGTGTCAGATTGTAGACTTTCTTGTCTGTATTTCTTCAGGGAATTAAAAAGATATTTAAATTATGTGTTCTGAGTGCTAAGAACTTTAATACTTAATAGTGAAAATTTAAATACTTCTTTGTTAAATCTAAACTCCAGGAAGCCTCTGTGGTTACTGCCAGCCCATAAGAGCTGTATTTTGTGCAACTGCTCAGCTCTTAGGCATTTGGTTTACTCCATTTTCCTCAGCACCATGGTTGACATATACGGCTTTTTCTGAATGCTCAAGTTATTTCCCATAAGGGCTGACTCTGCTCTGCCCAAGGAGACTCTACATCTATCAGAAATCGAAATTGTGCTCTTCATCTTTACTGTCTCTTTCTGTTACTATACCAATTACTTAAAGCAGTAGTCGTTCAGTGTGTGTGTGTGTGTGTGTGTGTGTGTGTGTGTGTGTTCATATAATATCATACTCTGCCCCTCTCCAGGAAAGATTGAAGTGTTCACACCAGAGTGTTGCTGGAAGCATTTCAGAGCCTGCTTCTTGGCATGATGTAAGGCACTAATCAGACTGGATTTTATGACATCTGAGGTTTTAGTTACAGAATCTTGATAAAGATGACAACTATCAAGATGCCTTAGTCAAATGACGTTCAGTATTAACTCAAATTACATTCCAAATTCCTATGCCCTTTCATCTTTATTTTCTTAAACTGTTAAGGAGAATTTCCATTAAGAATCCTCACCTTTTCACATGCCCCACAGCAGGGGAGTTCAGGATTTCCATTCTCTTCCTTACTCATACTTGCTCCTGCTCAGTGGGTCACCTTAGCCCTAACTTCACTGAGAAGATGGCCAAATTCAAGCAAAATGTTCCCTAATTTCTTTACTTTGCACCTCAGAATCTTCCTGTAGCTATACTCTTCACTGTTTTGTCTTGATTCTATTGTGTCCAACTTTTCCCCAGATCTTGCTCTTCAATAAGGTCTTCTATCATTAGTTAATCCTTCTTCATCTATAAACTTACTTAGGTCACTTCCATCCTGAATCTGTCCTAGTGCATCAGATATTACTTCCTTCTCCTCTTTCTGTAATGGCTGGAAGGCTCCTACTACTTATGTTTCTTATACTCTCTTAGCTACCCGCCCCCCATTTTGGTATATGTCCCATATTTTTTTTTCTAAAATTGCCCTTTTCACACTTCCCAGCAACTTCTAAATGAATCAAACTAGTAATGAAATCAAGTGATTCTTTTTCACTTCCTAGCCTCCTTGAGTTCTCTGCAACATTACAGTCTATTTCTAACATTCCTTGCCTAAAATTTGTTCTTCTCTCGGTTTTCCTAAAATGGCCTTGTGGAACATTTCTTATCGCTTGTATCATCACCTCTCTGTTTCCTTCACTAGCTCTTTATTCAATTTTGTAGTCTAGTGGGAAGAGCACCAGTATTACAGGCTTTACTAGGATTGAAACTCAATCCTAGTTTCTTCATAACTTATTTATTATCCTGGAAATTTCTTATACTCCTCAGCCCTCAGTTTTTAAGGCTGTAAAATGGGGAGTGGGTATAGTTCACACCCCTGGGTTTTAACTGTGCTATACAGTCTTAAGAATCCCTTTCATATTTCTCAGCCACCACATGATTCCCATCTTCATTTCAACCACAATAGCCACATTCTAATCTGGTTTATGTATTGGGCACCCACATGGATTTCCATCACTAGGGAAAGGTGAGTCTGGAAATGCAAGTATCTGGACAAGTGAGTTCAGTGACTGTTAGCCTATATGAATTGATAGAGACCATTTCCAAACATAAAGTTTGATAAAGGAAAATATGCCATGGGATGGGATAAAAGGGATGCTGGGCATGCCATCTTTTGGGATGGTATTCAACATGGCAGCTCATGGTGGTGCAGGAGTGGGAAGGGGAGGTGGCATCTGGACCAATAAAGCAGTTTACTCTTGAAGTCCTAGCATTCATCTCTACAGTTATATTTTGTTCTTAATGCAAAAATTCAGTATTTATTTTCTGGAGTCAATATGAGAAATATGTAAGATAATATTTTTAAAGCATTTGGCAGAGCACTTGGCACACAGCCAGCAGTTACTACATTTATTTGTTAAGTACTTTCTCTGCCACATTAAATGAGGAAATGCTGACATGCACTTTTCATATAGTGGCCCAACCACATTCTGCTCAAATATATTAATAGTCTGAATTCAGCTACTCGTTTTGCAAAATCAAAACACAGAAAAGTGGTTCTATAATCAGGAAGGGGCACCAAAAGAGGTATTTAAAATTATCTAGCTATGAGAACTACTCTTTTAGGTTTCAAAGAGTGAAAGGAAAAAAAAAAAGCACAGTTTTGTTCCATCAGATTTTGCCCTTTGAAAACTGGAGAGGTCAGAGGTTCTCCGAAAGGAGGGCACCTGAACTTTGGAAGCCCACCTACAAAGTTTCTATCTGAAATGCCGCAAAGATTTCACATCCCCTACTCTAGAGGGACACTTCTTCCCCGAAGTAAAATTCTTTTTGTTATACCACATCATGCTGGGCTGGGAAGATAATACTTGTGATTGCTCCTACATTTATTCTCCCTGCAAATTGCTGCCAGGGCACCCCAGTTCTATGTAGCGAATCATTATTTTGTCACATCACAAATATCAGCAGCATCTAGCTGATTCCACTTAAAATCAAAAGACTGAAACACACACACACACACACACACACACACACACACACACACACACCAGGAACACAGCCCCAATCTCAAACGAAGCATTAAATGTCCCTAAACTTCCTGCAGCAGGCTTGATGTTCTTTTTATGCAGGGAAATGGAGCCACGGTCTGCAATGCAGCAGTGGCTGTTTTCTTGATTTGCTTAGGTTAGTTGTAAAGGAATTTCTGCTCCTGCTGTGCCCATTAGCACTTTCCTCAGGCAGTGACTCTTCAAGAAGTTGGTCACTAAGCTTAAAACCAGTGCCCTCGTCACAAAAGATGCTAAGTACATTACTTCTTCCTCTGCTAAATTTGATGATGATCACTATTGAGTGGAATATGTCACAATTTTAAAGTCCCTTACAGTTTATTAAACACTTACACATATAATATGCTGTCCCCTCCTCATAACCATCCCGTAGATAGATGGGGCAGGGCTATGCCCTTTATTTTCAGATAAACATAAGCAATGACTCAGAATTTGCTGATGATC